CCCCAGCCTCGCTGCCCCAAGCCTCCAAGCTTGTTAAATGACGCGTGCATGCTGCACGCTGCTGGGGTTGGCTGCTCCACAGCCATCCATGAAAAGTGCTGGCTGAGCCCCATGCAGCCATCGGTCTGAGCCTTGCGATGTCTTCCCTTACTTCTTACCCCAAACTATTCATTTCAGGTGCGTGATGGCCGCATGGACAAGTTCTACTGGGATCCCTCCTTTGAGGACAAGGTGGGGGGGAGGGGGGGGTCGGAGGGGCAGGAAGGGGAAGGGGCTGCAGGGAAGGGCCCAGGGGCGAGGCACAAGGGAAGCGCGGCCAGCTCTCCTCTTCACTCTGGCCATTTGGCACTTTGTCAGGTGTGGATTGGTGCTCGCATCGTGCATGTCATGTTTTGACAGATTCAAACACTCACAGGCCTTGCTATCAAGCGCTCCTCAGCAACCAAACAAAACAAACAATCGGTTCCATACCATCTCTTCATCACAAAAATCATCGGGCCAGGTGGAGATTGTCCTGCAGATGTACCGCGACGACGGCGTCACCCGGGCAGACGTGGAGGCGCTGCTGACGCGATTTGGCAACCAGGGGCTGGACTTTTTCGGGCACCTGCGCAGCAGCACGTATGACAACCAGATCAGGGACTGGATAGAGCAGATCACAGGTGAGCCGGGCGCGAGGGTGTTTGTTTTGAGGGGGCCAGGGAGGCTTGCAATTGCTGGAATGGTTGTTGTGGGTGTCGAGTCGGAGTGGGTTTCGTCGCAAAAGGGTTTGCTTTGGTCTTTCCCTGAGGGCTTGCGCTTTCCATGCTGTCAATCGCCCTGCACATTCAGTCCAGCTGCGCTGCTGTGGACCCAACTGTCGTGATGCCCACCCGTACTGCTGCCAGCTCCTCTCTGCACCTTCCCCCGGGGTTTAGGGGTTTAGGGTATCCCCCGCCCACTCCCACCACTCACACCACCACCCCCGCGGCCGCCCCACCCCCCAGGCTCCAAGTTTGACGCCGAGAAGATCAACTTTTCTGAGCTGCATCGGCGGCTGGTCAAACAGAAGGATCTGCCTCAGTTTGACCCTGTGACGGCCACCCTGGGCATGCTGGTGGCGGAGGGGGAGAGGCTGGTGGCGGAGCAGGTGCGGCCCTGACAGGGCGGCGCGTGTAGTTGAGCTTTGCCTGCTTTAAGGGGCGTCCCTGCGTGACGGCGTGTCGCGTGACGGCGTGTCGCGCATGGATGGGGTAGGAGATTCTTGGGTTGTCTGGTGTCAACTGGGGGTGCTACCTGAGGAGATGCGTGCATGTGCACGTCCTCTGCGTGCGAGCGTGCGTGCAGGCGTTTACCGGCCTCCGCACGTGCGAGAGGGATTGCATGCCAAGCCCTGTCAAGGCGTCCAGACTAGTGAAGCTGGGCCCACACGAGGGACCTTCGCATCTCCATCGCCCATGCTGCACCGTTGTGTAATCAGCCCACCCACCCCTCTCTCCGCTGATCATTCAACCCCTCTGCCACCCCCCATCCCAAAGGACGCTGTCAACGCCAACAAGCTGTCTGAGGAGTACCTCAAGCACCTGCGGGAGGCAAAGAAGCGGAGCGCCTGGGGGGGCATCGGCCTGCAGGGCGACGGGTGACGGGTGACGCGCGCCGGGTGACGGCCCGTGGAGGGGCCGCAACGGAAGCGGGATTTTGGGTGTGATATGGCTGACGCTGGTTTCGGCATCGTTTTCCTGCTGCATGCCCATTTTGAGCGGCCTGTCTTGAGAGTCATGAGAGCTGTGCAGGTATGATAACTGAGTTTTGATCTTCAGCAGATGATTTGAAATCGGGTCTAATGCAAAACGCCCTGGCGCATTGGTCAGGTTTTTGCAAGCGACATACCATGGCTGCAGCGGCCAGCCTCCTGTGTGGCTGCATCACTTCTTGGGTGTTAACATCCGTCGCAGCTTGCGGCCGCGGAGGGTGTCGCGAAGTCTGCGTTTCAATTGGGGTGCGTGTTTGCAGCTCCCCACAGTCTACTGCATGATCAACGCCTGCTTGCAAAGCAGACCGCCACCTGAAAAGACCGCGACCCTGAAAAAAAGCCATACCCCAGCGCGCCCCACACCCCAGCGCGCCCACCCGACCGCATCCACTGAAAGCGGTCACGGCAGCAGGACGCTCAGGCAGGTCAGGGCTCCGTCAGCCTTTTCAAATTCCGTCAGCCGCGGCAGCGTCCGCAGCACGAGCCCCCTCTCGTCGCACAGCGTGCGCAGCGCGCCCAGCGCGGTCTCGCTGCCCTGCGCGACCACAGCGCCGCCTATCCTCAGCACGTTGGACGCCAGCGCATCACAAACGTACACCATCCTCAGCCCCTCCGCCAGCGCAGGCGCGCGCTCTCGCAGCGCCGCCTCAACCGCATGGCCCGCCGCGTTGTCCGCGAGCAGCAGCGTCTCGCTGTCTACCGCGGAGCAGGCGGATTTCAGGTGCAGGCCGTGGGGCACGGGCAGCGCCACTACAGCAGTGCTGTCCCTGACAGCGGAGAGCGCGGCGCGCATGTGGTCGACGGCCGCCGCGTTGGTGCGGGCGGAGAGGCCTACGAGCAGGTGGCCTGCGACCTGCAGGACGTCACCGCCGTCCAGGACGCCTGGGTGGGGGTTCGGAAGAGCAGGGGCGCGCAAGGGATCAGCGGGCGTCGGGGTGGCCCATGCGCGTTGGGGTTGTGCTGACATCATCGCACACCCTTTGCACCGGCCTCTCTTGCTTGTGGAAGAGATCTGCGGATGGCGGCTGCTTGGTAGGGCGTGACACGAATCCCTACCAGATGCGAAATCGCTTGAGTGGGACAGGGTCGCACGGTACTTGGGCAGCACTTACCCATTCACTCTGGGCTCACCCGGCTGGATGATTTCGTGAATCGACTTGATTATGGGCCGTTTGCCGTCAATGTCGCCACTACCCCTGCTGCTACCGTTGGGGCCACCCTCAGATGCCAGCCGCCGCAGGACTGCCGCCACGGCCTTGACCTCGCCCAGCCGCTCTGGGGCGCCTGCGGCCGCAAGACGAAGGGGCGTGCGGTGCCGGCTGGAGTTTGCGCACGCAGCTGCGGGATATGAGCTTAGTGGTTGCGCCTACGCCTGAGCTGCTGGGCGTGGGGGCGTGGGGCTGATCTGGGATATGGGAGGCACGCCCGCGCAGGGAATCCAAGGCATCGGGTGCCAGCGAGCGCGCACCAGGCCGCGCGACGACCGCTGCGCCAGAGTGCGTTACGACCACCGTATCCTGTGCGGCGAGGGCGCAGGTGCGGGGGAACTTGTGGGCACATGCGGTGTGGGCGAGGGGAGGGACCCAAGCGAGGTTTGGTGCGACGAGGGCCCGGCATGGGCCGTGCCACTGCGTCCTGCTGGCCTGCAGGTCGCACCTCGATGAAGGGGCAGTCAGGGAGCGACTCCTCGGCGTCCAGCTCGATGACGGTGGGCACCTGCAGCGGCAGCAGCGTGCGCACACACGGGCAGGCGGCTTATGCACGCGCGAGCGCGCGCCATGCATGCCGGCGCTCAGGGCGCGCCAGTCCCTGTATGCCCATGCAAGGAGCCCCCGCCCGGCAAGCCACGCCCCGGCCCGCCGCTAGCCGGACAGTGGCATCGGGCTGCCGCAAGACAGGAAAGGTTCCCTGGGTGCCAGGCGTGCCGCTGCGCTGCACGCGGCAAGGACGGCCATCCGCAGGGTTCGTGATAGCGGGACCACACCAGCTCTCGGAGTAACGCCACGTATGCATTGTGCTGCGTCCGCGCCAGGTCGATGTTGATCGGCTCTGTGGGCGCCTCCATTTTCAGGCTGCCGGTCGCAAATGACGATGGGACGCCCCGGACCAGCGCAGCACGCACACCAAACTGCGTCGCATCTGTCGCCAGCGCCCGAGCGAGCCCCGGCGAACATAAAGCAGCTGTTGCGTGCGTTACATACATTGTTTTAATCCGCGATAATGCATGCCAGGCTCTTGCGATCCGCATCGTGCCCTTGGCGCAGAAAGCGCGGTCGGGTCACTACACTAGATCTATACACTTGTTTTTCGAACAATTTGCGACCGTACATAGATAATTACAGTGTGATTGCAGCAGTTTGCTGTAGGGAGCGCCCCTTGAGGAGCAGGCAGCTGCCCTGCATACATTACCGACGGTCGCAAGCAATGACTGACGCCGGCTGCATCCAGTGATCCATGGGATTCACACGCTTGGGCCTTGGTTGAAGCTGTTGGTTGCACGCCACGATGACCCACAGGACCCTTTGATAACTCTCCCAGTCAGCATCAGCGCCGAGATTGCCATGCCGGTCAGCGATGCAGGGTCAATAGCGGTCAACGCCTATGCACAGCAAGCAAAGATCAAGCACGCGGGCTGGCTGATCCCACCGCAGTACAGCCAACCTACAAACCTCGGATTGCATGTCACTGTCACTTGCTGTTGTCATGATTGTGTCTGACTGAGCGTTTGGATGGAAGCCTACAATGGCACCACTTCGTTTTACTGGCCATGTCATGCATGCATTGTTGAGGTGCTGGCCGGTCCGCGGGACAATGGGGACATGCAATAGAGCACTGGATGTGCAATCCAGCAATGTCAGGCATTGATTGCAGATGTCTTGTTGCATGTCATCCCTCCCGTACGCCGCCGGCGTTCACACTCCACTGGCTGATTGGGGCGCACTCCAGCCCACGCCTGATCGACAACTACAGTCAACGTGGTCATAGGCGCTTGATCGCCTGTCGCTCGCCTTTGCCCTGGCAGTGCGCTGAATGAACAGCCCTGTGCCTCAGGCTGCTGTACATGCCCCCCGCCCCCCCTTGGCTCCCAGAAAACAGGGCGCATGTTGGCAGGAGCCCTGGACCTCAGGCTGCTCATCACCCAAGCCATCACCTGAACTTGACAGAAACCCGCAAAGGCAATGTGAGCGACCAGAGCGATTTTACCCACTTCTGCCTTGCCCTGCCTGCTTGCACAGCAACACGCTGCATCAACATCAACAAGTGACACCGGGCCAAGCGAGTCTGCTTGGCCCAACAAGACCCCAACGAGGTCAGGTCAAGATAGGTCAGACGTTGGGTGGCATGCGGTCCTGCAGCAGCCAGAGGCCCGTCAAGTCCTCAGAGTCGGGGTCCGGCTGCACCGCCAGGAAGTGGAGGCCCCTGGAGGGCGGCCAGGAGCGCGGTGGAGCAGGGGGCAAGGGAACGAGATCGTGAGCTGGAGCAAATGGCTCAGGAGTGATGAAACTTCATTCCAAGGCTAGCTTCTTCACCTCCTGGGCATGGGTTCAGCAACATCCTCAAGCAGCCACCGCAGCAGCAAGATGGCTGTGCAGGTCTGCCGGGGCCACTCGAGACCATGCACGCGCAGGCCGCTATTAACATGCACCAGCTACTTGCTTCCCCCGCCCAGCCACGGCCCCGCACCGCGTGCCCTCCTTGGCGTCCTCCCAGCCCTGCGCCTCCTCGATGCTGTCCGGGCTGGCCCGCCACCCGCCGTAGCGCCAGCGCTGGTTGACGCCGGTCTCCAGGATCAGGCAGGAGCGCTCCACGTCCGCCTTGACGCCTGCGTGAGAAGGAGGTTGATCAATTAACATCGTTGAAAACCTCAGCAGTGGTCCAAACCAGTTGTCAGGAGCGCACCTCAGCCTGACAGTGCGGCGCCATGGCACTTGTGTGGCCAGGGAGCCACCAAGCGGAGGGCAGGATATTGGTTGACGCCGCCCCTTCCCCTCAGCGCGTGCCCCGGGTCACCTGCAATCTCGAGACCGTTGGTCCACGCGGCCAGGGGCATGGCGCGGCGGCTGAAGACGGCGACGCCCGGCACTAGGATGTCGCGGGGCAGATCTGCCAGGCCCGCGGATGCCAGGGACATGGTCGCGCCAAACATGTTGCCCTGAATGGTGCACACAGTGGGAGGCGCGGCGTGAGGGGCGCGGGAGACAGTAAGGGGGGGGGGAGTGTGGGCGGCCCCCCGCGAGCATTCACCAAGGCTCCGCGCCACTGCCGTGGCCCTGCTCGGCCGAGCCGTCCGCCTCTCCATGCGCCTGCTCTGCCAGCTCAGCGCACGTCGTGCGCCCCACCGACACACTGGCTACGCGCCCCATGCCCGCGGCCGCGCGCACCTCCTCCACAGTCTTGAGCATGTCCAGCAGGGGCCCCAGCGGCAGCTGCACAAACGCCCACTTCTCGCCGCGCAGGGCATCGGGCAGCGGCTGGCAGGGCACGGTGGGGAGCGAGTGCAGGATGACATGGGGGTCAGGCGAGGGTGCGGCTGCTCCTCTGCACCTCGTGTTCCACCCCGCGCCTAGCCGGCTCCCGCACGCCCGATTGCAGCTGCACAGATAGCTTGAAGTGCGCCGACGCCCTGTATCCCAGTCTGCCAGTCCTGGCAATGTTCATAACCTCCTTCGTCACAAGAACTCACACCCACTCCCCCTACTGACACCCCCCCAACCCCCCGCGCGCCGCACCTCTGGCACCCCCAGGTCAATGTTGAACATGGTGGTGGCCTTGTCGCTGTAGCGGGGGTCAACCTTGTACACACTCTCCAGGCGCTCCTCAAGCAGGCCTGGGGAGGAAGTGGGAGTTGCAGTCACGTGAGAGCGGCCGTGTCCCCGCTTTCTCAGCAAAGGGCACGTGTGGAGGGAGCCCGACAACGTCTCCTCTCAGCACATGCATGAATACAGCGCAGCTGGATTGCCGTGCGCCGCTCACTCATGATGCTGAAGCAGCGGCGGCTGGGCAGTGCCTTGATGCCCACGTCCCCCAGCGCCTTGGTGATGATGGTCTGCATCTGCCCGCGGAAGAAGCGCGCCTTCTCGGGCACAACCGCGCCCGGCCGCTGCAGCAGAGCCTCAAGCGCCTTGCGCAGCTGCACAGGTGGGGGCGTGCGGAGCGGGGCGCGGATTGGGGTGAGCGGCTGGCCGCCGAGACGGAGCGGAGGTCAGCACTGGTGCAGAGCATGGATCCAGCAGCAGTGTCTGTTGTTGGCGAATGCTGCCTGACGCCATGACACTGCGTTTCCTCCTTGCAACGGGCGGATTCGATCAGCAGACAGACAGCGGTCAGCGTGTGCCTCGCCGCGTGAGTGGCTGTCATGCGTCGTCCGACTGGCTGGCCATGGGTGGCACTGCAGGGGCCGACACATGCCGCCCAACCGGGCGCCACCTGCCATGCGCAGCTGTCTGCTGCGTGCCACCAAATTATTTGTTGCAACGCCGTGCGCCACGCCGCGCATTCAGCGCGATCCATGCCGCATCCGGCATGCGACATGCAGCATGCGCCACCAGCGGCGTGCGCCGCACCTCTATGCTGTTGATCTTGCTGTTAGGAAAGTACTGCGTGTACTCGAAGCTGCGGGACGTGTCCGTAACCACCAGCTCCCAAACCTTCTTGCCACGCTCGTCTAGCAACGGGCGGGAGCAAAAGTCGAGCTCCCATGTGTCGCTGGTTGGCGCGGCATTCGAGGGCGCGCCGCTGCTGCTGGCCTCGTCCACCGCCGCCGCGGCCGCTTCTGTCGAGCGCCTGACAACGGTGTGTGCTGCATGGCGCCGAGCTGAGCCGAATGCGACGTGTTGCTGCTGCCTAATTGAACCCCTCGAAACGCTGCGCGCCTGCATCCCCGCGCGGGCTTGCATGATGGCGGTCTGCTTGCGATGGGCCCTCCAATGCCAGGTTCTGCTCTGCTCGAGCTGCGCGCCAGACGCTTTTATCAGCTTACGTGCACTTTGCATCTGCGAACGCAAGCTGGCATCTCTAGTTCCCGCGCTAGCAGCCCGAGCGTCGGGTGAGCACAGTTGTGGCGAGGCAAGAATCGAGAAGCCCTGCACGACGTGCATCAACCCGACAGAGTCAAAACCAAATGAGATACTCGATACAATGTTCATTAGCGCGCACAATCGCGCTGGCCCCACGCTTTGCATCGATGTCGTCAGCGGCCGCCATGCGCTAGTGTTGACCAGGGCGTCTGCCAGTGGATGATGGCTGTGGGTGCCACATTCAAGGCCTAGCATGGTTGTCACAGCCACATGTACCTAGAATCCAGCGAATGCATAACAGACGCAGGTTCGCACACGCACCATCACCACCTGGTGTTGTGACAGATGGCATGGCTTTGTTGGATGATACTTGCAAGGCTTGGCTGATGGGCTATAGTCATTGCCAATAGCTGCATTTACACAGGCCCGAACTCTTCGCTGCTGCTGCCCGTCGCCCCTGCTGGCAATGTATCCAGCCATCGCTCAGCCACAGCGGCCCGCAGGTGGCGCAACGCGGCTTCGTAGGCGCCGCCGCTCAGGCCGTGGCTGCCGCCGCCAAGCGCCGCCTGCTCCCCTTGACGCAGCCTGATGAAGCCACCGCCGCCACGTGCCTCAACCACGTCTCGCACCCTGGCGTCTATCTCATTCAGCAGCTGCAGCGGCGTGCACCACAGCTCGTCCGTCTCCGCATCCTCGGCCGCTGCGCTGCCGCCCTCTGGGGGCGGCGTGAAGCAGTCGGGCAGCAGCGCCTCTCGCTCCCCCTCCGAGCTGAGGCCAAGCAGCAGCTCCAGGATGCGCGACGCGGCAGAGGGCGCCAGCAGGGCGGCCTCCTGCTCGGGGCTCGAGATGCGCAGGCGGCCGACGACGGCGGCAAAGGAGCGGCGGCGGCGGGCGCGCATGTCCTCCGCCAGCTCAGCGGCCTGGTTCAGGATGGGATGGGGTCGGACAATTGGGGAGGCGGCCGAGATCGTCCGGTTACAGGCCCAAGAATACAAGGGATGGGAGGGGGGAGCACACGCCCGTGTTCTTGGACAGCAAGCACGCAATCAGCTACTCCATTTGATGGCGCGGCTCGAACTGTGCGCCCAACATCTGCATCACCGTGCGGTCCTTTGTCTAGCACATTTGCCGGCCCCGGCAACCCAGACCCTTGGCTACAGGGCCCCAACCTCCTTGTGCGCCTTGGCCACGCCCGCGGGCGTGAGCGCCGCCGGCGGCGCGACCGCCAGCAGCGCATCGTAGGCCGGGCTGTAGCCCTCGCGCACGACGGGGCCGCCGGTGACGGCCTCTGCCAGCTGCGTGGCGTAGCTTGCCGGGTCGGAAGCCATCAGTGCCTCCTGGGGGTGGGGTCGGGGCGTGGGGTTGGGGTGGGGGGACAGCAGACGTACGCACGCGGGCAGGGCGGCGGTGGCCACGGCCGGTGGCAGCAGGGTAGCCTGCATCAGCTGCTGCCCGGCTGCCAACCCTGTCAAGGCCCGCCATCGCTCATGGGTCAGCGCTGCAGGCTCCGCACCGTTCCGACACCGCTCATGCCAGAATCTGATGCACCCCAACCCAATACGTCAGCGCGCGCGCCCGACGCACCTGCTGGCCGTCCCCGCCGGCCAGAACCCTGAGGCTATCCACGTACAGCGCATCCATTCGCTCCTCCTCAAGCCGCTCTCGCGCCAGCACCAGCCGCTCGCACAGCGCGCCCAGCGCGCGGCGCTCCTCTGCACTCGCGGCGCGTGCCTCCAGGTCTGCCACCCACGAGATGAAGGGGACGGCCGTCGCGGAGGGCTGGGCGCGCAGGAAGGCGTCCAGCTGCGCGGAAGCTGCAGGGGCCTCTGAGAGCTTTGTCAGGATCGCCAAGAGCACGGGGTAGCGTGCCGACGTGCTCTCCTCCGCCGCCGCTGCTGCTGCCGGCACACCACCGCCACCATCGCCACCGCCACCACCGGCTGCGGCTGCGGTTGAGCGACGGGAAGCTCTGCTGTTGGGGCTGCTACCGGTCGTCCGCAGCATGAGGCCACAGACAGCGCAGATGCCGGCTGTGCCGCTTGGCATGCTCGTGCTGGCAACCGTGCAGACCGCTGGTGCGAGTGCCGCCGCGGGTGTGCTGAATGTAGAGCTCAAGTGCAAGCCGCGGCTCGTTCTGACACTTTGTGCCAGTGAGTTGCGGCCAGAGGCTCCAGCAAGGCTGCCTCTGGCTCGCTGCTGCATGCGTGAGACGTTCATGCTTGCTGGCGCCATGTACAAAATCCTGCAGAGGTCCAATACGTGCGTTGTCAATCAATTGTCCCCTCATCTGAAACATCAGGACAGGAGAAGGCTCAACCCTCAGATCAGAACTGCACGGTGACCCACCAGTGATGAAGTGACACAAGCACACAACACGGCTGTTAGATGATATGGCACAGTGCCTCAAGGACAATGAAGATTCTTTGAAGGCTCTCACGACAGCGCCTGCTGGCTCGACATCTGAAGGCCTCACGCTGAGCTTTGACCAACTGTGGACTCTGCTGATCTTGCGTATGCATTCCACCCCTTGAATGAAAGCACACAGCTTTACACTCTGAAAAACAACTGGACAGCCTCGCCAAATTATGCACAACTCAGGCGTTGCGGGCATCAGCAACTGGGTGGTCAACATCAACACGCAACACTCCCACAACTGTACCAGCACCAAAGCCGGTTGTCAAGCGCTGGCCAATCCCGCATGTCTGAAACAACATTAATGCTGGCGGCTCGACCTACGCACCTGCAACGCCTGGGACCAGCAGGCGCCGAGGCAGCAGCGAAATCACGAACGTGCCGCCGTGCTGCCCCTGGCCCTTGAGCGCTGCAGGGTCTCCCAACACTCCTTCGAGGGGCGGCCCTGCCGCAATGAAAGAGCACCGCCCCCAAAGATCCCTCGCACATCCCTCCCACGCCGCCGCCTCGCCGCCCCTGTTTGGCAGCGCGTTGAGCAGCTGGCAGTAGCGCCACGCGAGGGCGGCGTGCAGGCTGGGGTGCAGCGCGTGCGACGGCGGCGCCACCGACAGCCTGGAGGGCCAGTGGGGTTGGGTGGCGGCAAATTATGAGGTACGGCAGGCTGCACACAGCGCGCCTGTCAGCTAGAACATGCCCAGAGATCCCCCTTTCAAGAGGCAACAGGCAAGAACAGGACTGCATGTCTGCATGCGGGTTGCACATCAGCCCGCCGCTGCACCTTGCGGGGTCGAGTTTGGAGAGCTTGGCCGCCTCCCTGAACATGCCCTCCCCATACATGACGCGCGCCGTCCTCGAGTACACCACCCCCAGCAGCGCCAGCACCGGAGCCAGCAGCGGCGCCGCCTCGCCGCCGGCGGCCTCTGCAGCCTTGAGGGCGGCGCTGAGGCGCTCCTCTGCCTCTTCCCACTGCTTGGACGCCATGCTGACCTGGCACGTGAATTTGAGGGGCAGCCCGGGCTGGAAGGGTTTGAAGCCGGGGCGTTCCTAGTGCTGTTGCATGAATTGTAAAGCCTGGGTATATCATCTGCAAAAAGGGCCGCCCGCGCAACGGCTGCGCACAACGCCGCACGCGGCTAGCCACTGCATCAAGTCGTACGCGTTCATACGGTGGGGTAACAATATACGCTGCATGTTAACCCCATTACCCCCACCCAGGCGCACCTGCGCCAGCCCAAGGGACGCGTCAGCCTGCACCTCCCGCGCAGCCCGCGCCGACAGCAGCCCCGTGTCGCCGCCAGGCCCTGCAGCCGCCGCGTCGGCCGCTGATGCGGCACTGTCTGACGCGCTCTGGTACGCCTCGGCAGCTTCCGGGCCCTTTCCCTGGAGCAGCAGGATGTCCCCAGAAAGCTTGGCCGACGCCGCCTCGAGAACGCCCCCGCTGCCGCCCGACGGAGCCTCCCACCTGGGTTGCTCCGCAGCTGTGGCGTCCCCCGCCGCAGCAGTGACGAGGCGCTGCAGCGAGTGCAGCAGCGGGGCGGCGCTGCTGGACCCGCTGCTGGCGGTGTCTGATATCACGACAGGCGGGCTCGCAGCGGCCGTGGCGGCGTCGGCGTCCAGGCCGGCGGCTAGCAGCGCCCTGACCTGCTGCAGGCGGGCCGACAGCGAGAGCTCGCCCAGCTGCTCGGCAGGCACGCCAGGGGGGGTGGCCGCGGCGGCAGCGGCTGCGGCAGATGCCCATTTTGCAGACGCAGCCTGGCGCGTTCGTCAAAGAGAGATGGCCGGTGTTACGACAGATGTGAGTCGTGTGCACCCGCGCAGCGTTTGACCTTGACACCCTGGCAAGCCGGTCACGTGCCAGCACACGCAAAACATGCACTGTTAAGCCAACCAGCGTGTGGCTGCTGCCTGCTCCGTCGATTGTGCGCTGCTGGCTCACCCAGTCTGCCTGCGCTCCGCTGATCTCAGACATTACCAGCAGCAGCCTGGGAGTGGTGGGCATGGTGCGGCGTCCCCAGTGCATGGGGCTTGGACGGCCGTGCCCTGCAGCTGTGCATCCAGCAGGAGCAGGTGGCAGCCTTGGCAATCCTCGGGCCGCTGATCTCAGAGCGGCGCGAGACCAAAATCAAGAAGAATGAGGGGGAAGGAAAAATGCATGCCAGAGCTCCGCCACTCTGTGCACACCTGCTCGTGTCGACGCCGGCATTGGAGTCTGGCTGCATGGCCAGCCCTGACTGCACCACATCCATAGCTGCGAAGCCCCCCTGAGTTGTTTGTTTAGCGGCGAGAAAGGATGCGGGGTGAGAGCTCTGCTCTCGTTGTGCGGGCCCCACCGCACTGAGAGATGCTGGCTAGTTGCCCAGCGGCGTGGCGCATGGCAGCAATGCAGGCCGTGGCAGAGGGTGCCTTCGCGATGAGGGTCTGGCTACTCTGCACCTCTTGTCGGGCGTAGGCGATCATCTGGTCCGTCACGCTGGGGCCCGCCGCGCTGCTCCATGCCCTGGTCGCTACGAGCACGTTGCGAAGCGCCGCGGCGGGCGTGGTGGCTCCTCGGCGCGCCGCAGCGAGCCCTAATGCGGTCAAAGCCATATTATGGTTGATAATCACGATCAAACTTCCACTTCACATGTGGTACAGTCCCCAAAGCCCCGTCACAATGAGAACTTGGCCGATGATCTTGCACCTCAGCGCTGTCACAACCAATCGATTGTACAATTGTATGCATTAGGATTCCCATACATAGGAAACAAGACGAGTCGCCGATTGCCAGTCACCCCAGCGAACCGCCTTGTTCACTGTAGACGAGACCAGCGGGAGCCTAAGCGAAATCAAGCAAGACGCCAACAAGATTCAGCAATTAAAAAACCTGTGAGGCAGCTGCCCTCCTGCCTCCGCCCGTCTTATTGCGGGAGCAGCGGGAGCGCCGCCGTGCGCAGCTCAAGTGGATCGTCAACTGAAGCGGGACATCAACTGTAGCAGCGAGAGCGACAGCGGGTATAACAGCGGCGTCATAGAAACTGGCAGAAAGGACGCGCCTGGCGCCACCGCGAGCGCAGCAGCAGGAGGGATGGGGGCCAAGGAGGACGTGGAGGATGCCGAGGAGCGGCCCCTGCTGCGCCCAGGCAGCCCCTCCGCCGGCGGCGCGGGCCGCCTCACCCGCGCGGGCCTGGCCCCGCAGCTGGGCCGCGCCCTCAGCCTGCGCAGCGGCACCGCGCGTGTGGTGCTGGCGGCGGCGGTGTCCGTCGCGTGGATGTTTGTCAGCAGCCTGCTGATCCTGCTGAATAAGTACATCCTGAAGGACCTGAAATTCTCGTGAGTCGCTGGCATTCGCTGGTACCAAAGAATGATAATCAACAGGCAGGGGCGGGAGAGTGAACATGGGCGAGGCACCCACATGGCTTGGGGCGCTGAGGGGCGCCTGCTGCACCGCTGCAGGGCTCGCTAGCGAGCTGGCAGCACAGGACAGCGGTAGGCAGCCAGACATTCTCGCCTTGGTGCGGCTCGTGCGTGCGGGACAGAACCAGACGCCAAGCTGCCTAAATTGACTGCCCAGCGGTGGTGCGCGTTGCAATGGTTGTGAAAGCAGTGGCATGCACAGGCAGCGCAGGGGAAGCACGGATTGGCAAAGCGCCCCTGCGCTTGTTAAATCCCCCGTTTCACCCCCCCCCCCAAAACAACCCCACCCCGAAAAGGTATCCCATGACGGTCAGCAGCCTCGGCATGTTTGCCAGCGGGGTGCTGTCCACCGCCGTGTGCCGCACCTTCAAGCTCGTCAGCCCAGAGAACCAGGTGCGGTCGCCGGGGCGCGGAGGGCGCGGTCCGGCTGGTGTGGCGGCAGAGCAACACCGCACACTCGCTAGCTGGCGCCTCTGTTGGTCGCTGTCAGCCACCTGCAGGCCAGCAAGGGGCCTGAGTCCACGCGCTGCTTTGATCGTCGATCAAAATCGGGGCGTGCGTGGGCCGCCAAGATTGGATCAGTTATGATTTCCCTGCACATGGAGGAGGCTGCACCCCAGCAACGCAGCAACAGGCCGATCCGTCCGCCGCGACACTGCTGTACTCGCTGGTGCACTTCAGCACCTTGCTCGACGCCGTCGACCCACGTCTGCGCGTGCATCACCCCACCACGCACCCCGAGGCAGCTCCAACCCTTCAAAATGCCTGTCCCTCACCCCAAACCACCCCCACACGTGAACCCCTCCACCCTCACCCCAAACCCCCTTACCCCGCTCACCAGATCTCGTCACGGTTCTACTGCACCCACATGCTGCCTGTGGGGTTCTTCATGGCCCTCACACTCTGGAGCGGCAACAC